TTATACATTGCTGGTGGGACTGCAAATTAGTGAAGCCAATATGGAAAAAAGTATGGAGATTCTTTGAAAAACTTGGAATGGAACCACCATTGACCCAGCTATTCCACTCCTTGGTCTACACCTAAAGGACTTAAATAGCATACTACAGGAACACTGCCACATCGATGATTATTGCAGCACAATTCACAATAGCTAAATTGTGGAACCAACCCAGATGCCCTTCAGTTGATGAATGGATAAAGAAACTGTGGTATATATACAAAATGGAATATTATTCAGCATTAAAATAGAATAAAATGGTGGAATAAGATAGATATCATTACCCTAAGTACATGTATGAAGACATGAATGGTATGATTCTGTGAGCAACCAGAGACATGAAAAATTGTGCCCTGTATGTGTACTAGGAAGTGAAATGCATTCTGCTATCATGTATAACAAATCAGAGTAAATAAATAAATTTTTAAAAATTGGATGTATATATGAATAGCTGGTAATCAAATATGATGTGAATTTGGTACTTTGAAAAGGGCTTTTATATTAAACGTATGGTGATAGCAGAGCATCACTATTTTTGAATCCTTTGAGATAAAACTATAATACTTTTATAATAAATAGTTATTGATGGAAAAAAAATTCTTTCATTGGGTTACTCTACCATCCCTTGGGAAAGGGGGTTAAATTGTTTTTGTTTTGTTTTGTTTTTGTGGCATGCAGGCCTTTGGCATTGTGGTGAAGCCAAAGAACAATTAAGAGCAAACATAATAATTGAAAACAAGAGAACAAATTTCATCAAGTATAATCCTTTGGATTATAAAGGGAATTAAGTATCAAATATTTAAAGTTTGTGACCTAGTAATACATAATAATACATGTATTTATTAATGTTTTTAGTAATAAGGTGTAAATATGAACATAATTATGACTATAATTTTGAACTTCTAATCAATGTAAATGATTTTGAGATATTTGTAGCAATGTAAACAGATATAAAAATCTATGATTTCTATTTTTTCCCCTACATTCATAAATGAAGGAATTGCTAAATCCAGTTGTGGCTTAATGAAAACAAAAACATTTTTTTCCCCCAACACATCAGTTCCTGGACCCTGGGAATTCCATCTTTGGAGCCCTTGTGAGACAGTCAGACCTCTCCTACAAAGTTCAGAGACCTCAATGGCCAGCTTGATAGTTATTAAAAGCATGGTATGTGCTTTCCCCTGCACTCTGTTTTAACTCATGGCTTTTTAGCTATGAAGAGCATAATGTGTGCCTTTCCTGTACCCTCATTCACTAACTCTGTCACTAGCCTCAGAAACAGATATATGATTAAAACCAGGATACTTCCCCAACAAACAAAAAGGATAAAACTTTTGAGGAGTCACCAACACAGAAAATTGCCAGGGCCCTTAACTTGTTTCTGCCCTAATTTGTGTTCACTCCCATTTCTCATCTGTGTTCTCTTAACAGCTACAGCAGCTCATCCTTATCCCAGGGCAGAACTATTTATACCAGATGCAGCAAGATAATAAAAAAGTAACATTTTACACCAAGACGGCCAGCTGACTACCCCTCCCTCAAGATTGAAAAGTTTGCCCAAAGAAAAACACCTTTTAAAATGCATCTAAAGCCAATTAATAGTCCTAAACTCTGGTGCACCTCCTCCCCCTTTCACATGAATAAAACTAGCTCCTTTGTCCTAAGAGCCAGCTTGACTCTGTCACTGCTGGGTCTCCCTTCTGCTGGAACAAGAAGTCCCAGTAGACTTGTTCTCATCCCCCAGGGCCTTTATCTGATTCTCTGATAGACTGCACAGGAACCCACTGAGCTGGCAACCCTTGGCAGCATGTGCAGCCCACATGAAGCCTCCTTGAGACATTCTTGTCATCTGCATCAGGAAACTTCAGTCTCTATTATGGTTCTGAAAACAGGTATAACAAAAAAGAATTGAATAGTGGTCAACAAAGGAAATATCAAAGAACTAATAGAAAAAAGAGTTAAAGAAAATGTTTAAAGAAAGAAAATGATTAATAAATAACTGAAAATTTATATTCAAAGGATAATATCACTCTAATAACTCAAATCAGAAGTCACCAACTAAGAAGCTCCTGCTACAAAGGTAATATAAAGGCATACTGCTCCCCACAATTTAGTTCTGGTTGCTTCCTACATAATTTGCTTTATATCCAAGAGGCCTTAGGACTTTGGGCTTAGGGTATTGCAGAATTCCTGATGTGTGCCTGGAGTTCAAAGTAATTTTTTTCTATATTTAAAGTAGAATATCACTTATTTGAACATACTAGATTAACTAGTTGACACTAGAAATGTCTAGGATAGAATAATCCAACATGTAATAATATTATCAACAATAGATGCCAGCATAACAATTTATTATTCAAGAACTACTTTCACACGCATTCTTCTTACAAGTCTCAAAATTGCTTGCTGATATTCTATAATATCCCATAAAATATGATGCTTTGAAAGACTGTGGATCTTTTTCTTGTTTTTTCAAATATTGGTCCCCCATCTTTCTACATTTATTGAAGCACTACTTGAATTTTAATCTTCAGTAGGTAACACAAACTTGTTAGAAAGGGCTGTAGATAAGCCAGGCATGGTGGTATATACTTGTAATCCAGCCACTCAGAAGGCTGAGGCAAGAGGATTACAAGTTCAAGGCAAGCCTGGGCAACATAATGAGATCCCTTCTCAAAATAAAACATAAAAAGGGCTGGGGATATAGTTCAGTGGTAGAGCATCCCTGGGTTCAATCCTCAGGAAAGAAAGAAGAGGGAGGCAGGGAAAGAAAGACATATGTGCATGTGATTGTGACCTTATTTGTCCTTGGAATCATCTCTAAGGTATCCAAACTCAGATGCTCAGAATTCCCCCTTGGTCACCTAAAGAACTAGGGTATAAAGGATAAAAGAATGTGCTTTGAGCCAACCTCCCAGCCAGTCTACTGGCACATGATTCCCTATTATTCCAAGAATGCTTAATATGAGTTAGAGTCTGAAGGTAAATTCTGGATGTAAGCTGAACATTCTGATATTCTAATAATAATGTGGCTCAGTGAGAAATTCCATGATGGTAGCTTAGCTATAAGCCATCCTTGAAGATGTTGATAGAAAGCATATTTCAGTGTCTCCATCTATCCATAAACTGCACCTTGGACTAAATACTCTTTCTCCTTTCAGCAAAGTTCCCACAGTTTGTACCTCCAGAGGTGGTTTTTTCCCCTGGAGTTCCCATAGAACATAGCCCAGCAAATTAAAGCCCAGAAGTTAGTCAGGCAATGAGTTTAGAAGTCAGATCTCTAGTTGTCTTCTGAAAACTATAGATAACCCTCTCTAGGGTCACTCTTCGGTGCCCTGTAATTCCTTTGTACCCAGGAGTCATTCTTTGATGTTTGCAGCCTTTGCTCGAGGCTATTCTCAGAGTGAACTCAAGTGTTCTACATGAGAAGGTGTAGGATCAGGTTCACACAAAAAGATATCCTTGACCCTGCCCTCCATTCCACCAGCAGCACAAATCATCAGGAGTGCTGTGCCTCCCACTGTCATTCCTTTGTCCACTACTGAATACTCCTTGGGCACTAAGAGAAGAAAGACGCAGACTCTGCTCTTCCCTTCCCTATACTGATACCAAGCGCAAACAGTGACAGGATCGCAGAATCTGAACAAGGTGAGTTAGAAAACTATGCATAGGAAGCTTGGGTGAAAGGCCCAGAAACACTGGAAGGAGCTTGATCGACTTTTTAGATAGAAAAGATAGAAATTACAGAAAAAGGAGGCTTCAATTCAACTCCCACTAATGTAGTCTTTCCCCCACCTGCTCCTCCAAACCCTGATCTTCCAAAGCATATACACATCCTAGTAGACTCTCTCAGGTCTGTCTTGAAGGAAATATTATTGGGTCCATTGAAGGACACTGGTATTCAGAGTTGCAAATCAGGATAGAGATTCAGTAGGGCCAAGTACATTCTTCATGCAAATGAGGGCAGAGTCCTAGTTTAAGGAGGAGAGTTTTCAAATAATTCCCTCTTCTAGGTCAGAGTTACTCCTGTGAAGGCAGTTTTAGTCTTAGTACTTACTTGATTAGAGCAATATTTCAAAACTCGAGTTCCTTTACCACAACATTCTCAACAAGCAGCTCTGTCAAATTGAGATCATTTGTAACCAGGGTTGGGGAAATGGCCCCTGAGAAGGGATGTGTAAACCCAGGCTTTGGGTGGCTGTTTTAAGGAAGTTAAGGTTAGAGAAGCATCATCATGCAAAGTCAGCATAATTGCAGCCTGGGCTATGATTTCAGGGAACCAAAGCCTTTCACCTAGAAAATATCTCCCAAGAAGTTGTTTATCTTCTACATGCCCATAAAAGGTGACAACCATTTCTACTTTACAGACATAGGTTTAAAATGCCATATTCTTTAGGACACATGATTTCCTGCAAGTCAATTGTGGGAAAGGAGCTTACTAGAGATAGCTATAGTCCTTTGGGTTCCATGGGTCTTATAGAGGGGAGGGCAATAGAAAGAATTCTTAAACGTTGTCTACTTTTTCCAAATTTTGTTCTTGGTACACTCAGTCTGCAACACATTTTTATTTTCTATAAATATTATTATCTAAAAGAGTTGTCATCTAAGTTGGGCACAGTGGTACATGCTTATAATTCCAGCAACTCGGGAGGCTAAAAGCAGGAGAATCACTAAGTTCAAGGCCAACCTGGACAACTTAGCAAGGCCCTAAGCAACTTAGTGAGACTTTTCTTAAAAAATAAAAAGGGGATGATGTAGTTCAGTGGTAAAGCATCTCTGGGTTCAATTCCCAGAACCCCTCTGCCCAAAAAAAGAGTTATCATCTTCTAGTATAGGAATCAAATAGTGAAATTAGGCCCAAGTGCCCTCATTGGCAGGAACAGGAATTTTGAAGTGCCTCGCAACCCTCCAGGCATGCCTTAATATTTTCCTCTCTCTTCCCTGTGCATACACAGGTGGTCCTGGTCACTGAGATGGCTTCCTCTCTAAAGGTCTGGGTCACTCTCTTGGCCCTGCTGTGTCTCCAATGCAGTTTACTTTTGCACAGTGAGAACATTTCCAGGAGGAAATTTATGGAAGAACATCACCTAAGTCCAAGCCAAGATTTTGCTTCCTACAAATGTAACAATCTCATGAAAAAAGGAAATCTGAGCCACAAGCCCTCTCACATGTTCATTTATATCTCATGGTACAAAATTGAGCATATATGCGTTAGTAGCAAATGGAATGACCGTTATAGAAATACATACATATGGGCCCAGCGTCCCATCAAAACACTCACTTGTCACTGGGAGAAATTAAATAACTACAGAGAGACCAGGAGCTATAGCCATATTCAATTCCATTGTAGCATGGATGGGTATGTTGACAATATAGAAGATGTGAAGCTCATAAAGCCTCTCTTCAACTAGACAGTCTGTCTGGGACCTCAGGTTGGGGAGAACATTTCGTGATTTTCAGGTGATGGCCCTGCATACATCAACGGCCGCTGCCACTCCCCAGTTTGCATTTTCATGTCAATGTTTTCCAACCAGAGTTATGGATCACAGTCTCATGATACTACAATTTTGATTTTGTTGTTCTCTGCCTGTAATAATAGTCTGTCCTCATTTACCTAAGTTACTCCTAAGTGTTCTTTCAAGGTTCAGCTCATGTGACATCTCTTCTCGACTAATCCAGGACTTTTCCTGACATTGACATCTTTAAACCTACCAAGCTGAATGACCTTTCCTTCTATAAATAAAGTATGTTATTCCAATGTGTATGATGAGCCTATTTATGCATGCAGTTTGTATTATATCACTAGTATGAGCAGTATGGCTGCACTTACTACGATGTATGAATAGATGTGATTGTATTGTACATAGGTCTGTGTGTGCCTAAATGTATGGAATATGTTTATGTATCTGGGTATATAAACGTGTTTGTATGTGCTAAGCTGAAGGCAAGCCATGACCTAAGCATTGTTGTGGTAGCATCCTTAGATCCACCCAAATGAGTGGCACAGGCAGAGCTGACTGATAGTCACATGGCTCCTGGCTCACAGTAGGTACTCCAAGGAAAATTGACTTTTTCTTTCCTCATTCTTTGGATAAAACATGAGACTTTAGTCATCTGCTCTCCCTGACTAGAAGAGGGGGATTTCTAATATGCAAAGCATAGTAGGCTGTGAACACAACAGAAGCTATGAACCTCAGATCAAAAAGTACCCCTCCTCCATCAACCAGACTGAGACACCCCCACTGGACTTATTTATTAAGAACATTCCTAAGAAGGCCAATTCATTTTAGATGGGTTAAGGCATTTCATTTCCTCATAACATTCCACATTAAGTAGAAGATAATAGCATAAGTGAGTTTGCCTGATAATAAATATTTTCATTCAGCGGAGAAATAAATTAAGTGGAAGTTTGAAGACTTCAAAATGTCAAGTTTTTCAATTGAGAATGAGATTTTAGACTTAAATGTTGTTATAAGGAAATAAATAGGAGAAGAAAATGTTGGGGGTGCAAGCAGGTAGAGTGTATAAGAATTCTATTTGTAAATTAGGGAGAGAGATACAGGGTAAGAAGAATGTTCTCTTCATATAGGAGGGGTATGGGCAGGATAAATACTAAGCATTCAAATACCTTAAGTTCTCTAGTCTCCTGCAATGTTACATGATTCTGATTCTGAAACAATCAGAGAAAAGACCAAGGTATCAATCTTTTTAATGAGGTGACTGCACACCTTCCTATAACTCTGGTGTCAGTCAGCGACCAGTATATCTAGATGGGTCATAATGTTTGTAGGGCAATTCCTGAGCCTTGAAATTTTTCAGCGAATCTGGGGATGAGCTGATACCTGGTGAATGATAATCTATATTAACAAAAATCACAAGAGATTAGTTTTAAACCAGAGTCCTTCAAGATCAATTTACCTATGGGGAATATTAGTTTATTTGTTTTTTTTTCCCACATGGTAAATGCTCTTCTTAATATATTATAGAAGAGGAAAAAAATATTTTCCTTCTAGGTTCTTGCTGGAGATCCATATAACAGAAATCATATTAACAACAGAAAAACAATTGAAAGTTTATTAATATGTGCATCTCCTATACACATGGAGGTGGGATCAGGGATGAATAACTCAGAGGGGGCTAAAGTTCCCTTGTCTGAATTGAAAGTTCCTCCTGAATGCAATTATCATGAACTCCTTCTCTGCAATCTCATTAAACAAAAAATATTTATTTTTGGAAAATAAGACTGAAGATTTGAAATCTCATCCAGAAAGACTTTGTTGCAAGCAATCATCTATTCTTCTGAAGCCTGTTACCTGAGAGACTTCATGCACAGAGCAAACTCTCCTATTTGCCATGCATTTATTTCCTTTAATTCTCTTTGTAAACTATCATCATCCCCCCTACCACCCAGAATCCCAAGCCTTTATTCCCTCCTGTAGACAGAAATGCTTTTTACACTTCAAACATCTGGACCTTCTTTGAGTCTCATGATGAAACAGAACCCCTCTGAAGTTATTTTAGCTCCTGAACTTCTTTTTTTTTTTAACTTTTTTGAGAATGGAGGTTGAGGGGCAGCCCCCTGACCCTAGTGGATGCCTGGGAAACAGAGAATGTGACTTGTTTCTTAGTCGAGCTAAATCCACATTTCCTAACTTTAGTCCCACTGTGCCTCCTTTATTCTTATTTTTTTTAAATTGGTTCTTTTCAGTTATACATGACAGTAGATTCCATTTTGATATAATTATACAAGCATAGAATATTCTTTTGCTAATTAGGGCCCCATTCTTGTGGATATACATGAAAGTGAAGTTCACTGTTGTATATTCATATATGTACACAGGAAAGTTATGTCAGATTTATTCCACTGACTTTCCTTTTCTTACCCTCTACCTTCCCTTCATTCCCCTTTGTCTAATCCACTGAACTTCTATTCTTCCACTCCTCCGGCTTCCCTTATTGTGGATTAGCTTCTACATATCAGAGAAAACATTTGACCTTTGGTTTTTTGGGGATTGGCTTATTTCACTTAGTTTCCAGATCCAAGTGTCATATGGCAAGTGTCATGAAGTCATTCTTCTTTATGGTTGAGTAATACACCATTGTGTTTACTTACCACATTTTGTTTATCCATTTATTTGTTGAAGGACACCTAGGATGTCTCCATAGCTTAGCTATTGTGAAATTTACTGCTATAAACATTTATGTGGCTGCATCACTGTAGTGTACTGATATTAACCCCTTTGGATATCTACCAAGGAATAGGAAAACTGGGTCAAATGGTGGTCCCATTCCTAGTTTTTTGAGGAATCTCCATACTGTTCTCCAGAGTGGTTGCACCAATTTGCAGTCCCACCAACAATGTATGACTGTGCCCTTTCCCCACATCCTCACCAACATTTATTGTATTTTTTTTTTGTATTCTTGATAATTGCTATTCTGACTGGAGTGAGATGAAATCTCAGTGTAGTTTTAATTAGCATTTCTCTAATTGCTAGAGATGTTGAATATTTTTTCATATATTTGTTGACCATTGGTATTTCTTCTTTTGAGAAGTGTCTGTTTAGTTTCTTTGCTTATTTATTAATTGGGCTGTTTGTTTGTTTTGGGTATTAAGTTTTTTCAGTTCTTTGTATATCCAGGAAATTAATGCCCTATCTGAGGTGCAGGTGGCAAAGATTTTGTCCCATTCTGTAGGCTCTCCCTTCACACTCTTGATTGTTTCTTTTGCTGTGAAGAAGCTTTTTAGTTTGATGCCATACCATTTACTGATTTTTAAAATTTTACTTCTTGTGCTTTAGGAGTCTTTTTGAAGAAGTCAGTTCCTAAACTGACATGACGGAGTGTTAGGCCTATATTTTCTTCTAGTAGGCGCAGCATCTCTGGTTTAATTCCTAGGTCCTTGATCCACTTTGAGTACAGTTTTGTGCAGGATGAGAGATAAGGGTCTAATTTTATTCTACTGCATATAGATTTCCAGTTTTCCCAGCACCATTTGTTGAGGAGGCTATTTTTCCTCCAATGTATGTTTTTGGCATCTTTGTCTAGTATGAGATAATTGTACTTATGTGGATTTGTCTCTGTGACTTCTATTCTGTTCCATTGGTCTTCATGCCTGTTTTGGTGCCAATACAATGCTGATTTTGTTACTATAGCTCTGTAGTATAATTTAAGTTCTGTATTGTGATGCCTCCTGCTTCACTTTTCTCACTAAGGATTGCTTTGGTATTCTGGGCCTCTTATTTTTTCCTAATGAATTTCATGACTGTTTTTTCTATTTCTATGAAGAATGTCATTGGAATTTTAATGGAAATTGCACTGAGTCTATATAGTGCTTTTAGTAGTAATTTTGGCAATATTAATTCTGTCTATCCAAGAACATGGGAGATCTTTTAATCTAAGTTCAATTTATTTCTTTAGTGTTCTGTAGTTTTCATTGTAGAGGTCAATTGCTTCTTTTGTTAGATTGATTCCCAAGTTTTTTCTGTGTGGGGTTTTTTTTTTGTTTTGTTTTGTTTTTTGGTTTTTTTGAGGCTATTATGAATGAGATGATTGTCCTAATTTCTTTTCAGCTGATTCATCATCGGAGTATAAGAACACAATTGATTGATGTGTGTTAATTTTGTATCCTGCTATTTTGCTGAATTCATTTATCAGTTCTAGAAGTTTTATGGTGGAGTTTTTGGGGGTCTTCTAAATATAGGATCATGTTATTGGCAAACAGAGATAGTTTGAGGTGCTGGGGATATACCTCAGGTGGTAGAGTACTTGCCTTGCATGCATAAGGCCCTGGGGTTCAATCCTTAGCACCACAAAAAACAACAGAGATAGTTTAAGCTCTTCTTTTCCTGTTCACATCCCTTTAATTTCTTTCTTTTGCCTAATGGCTCTGGCTGGAGTTTCAAGGATTATGCTGAATAGAAAGTGAAAAGGTGAAAGTGGGCATTTGTGTCTTATCCCTGTTTTCAGAAGGAAAGCTTTCAGTTTTTCTCTGTTTAGAATGATGTTGGCTTTGTGTTTGTCATATATAGCTTTCACAATGTTCTTTGTTTTTTGGGGGAGGCTGGGGGTGGGGTGGTAACCGGAATTGAACTCAGGGGCACTCAACCACTGAGCCACATCCCCAGCCCTATTTTTGTATTTTTATTTTAGAGACAGGGTCTCACTGAGTTGCTTAGTGCTTTGCATTGCTGAGGCTGGCTTTGAACTCAGTATCCTCTTGCCTTTAGCCTCCTGAGCCGCTGGGGTTACAGGTGTGTACCACCACCCCTGGCTCACAGTGTTCTTTCTATTCCTATTGTTTTCTAGTATTTTAAACACAGATGGATGCTGTATTTTGTCAAATACTTTTTCTGCAACTATTGAGATAAATATATGGTTCTTGTCTTTAAGTCTATTTATGTGATGAATTACATTTATTGATTTCCATATGTGGAAGCATCCTTGCATCCCTGAGATGAATCCTCTCTTATAACTTTCTATACCCCTCAACCCCTGAAATTGGAGATTTGAGAAAGAAGTTGTTATCCTCCATTATCC